ACCACATTATGTCATCTTCTTTTATTGTATTCTTCGAAAGAAAAGGCTTTTATTCTTTATCGCTTAACTCTAAGCCCTGTTCTAGTCGAGAATTCTTCATGTATCATAGTTATTGCTGGCCTAAACCTAGGATCTATGGACTATATGCCTGTGTTTATACTAGAGCACTTTTGTGATCAACATGGGAAAATAATTTATAACGTTACTCGACACTAAAAGTCATTCACAAGCTTATAACTTATATAGTTTCATATCAATTTAGACCGGAATCTAGAAATGAATTCTATTTCAGGTTTCACTTGAGGTCTTTTCGCGGAAGGGAACATAAATTGAATTTAACTCTGAGGATTATCACACCAACGCTTCCTCATGCAGCTTTGTTTCGCACTGTAACAGATTTTCAATTACTGTCGCTGGTATATAGCCATAAAAGTTTTCGACTTAATGGTCTATATTAAGGAGTCCAATAAAATCATGAAAAGCAAAATATGATTTATGCCTACATTCAACAGAAGATTGCCATTTCCATTTCTTCCGTCTGTTGACACTTTAGATTCCCCGAAACTTATAAGTCGCACTGCCGGATTCTCCGTCTACACGGAGCCACTTCTACCTCTTCCACCACCAGATTCCTCGTCCTTTTCTGATTCATTTTTTGGGTCCATAGGCGTAGGATCAGCTTGTGAAGATAATCTTGTTGACACTGATATCACCGTCACCGAGCAAAAGATAAATCGTCAGCACTTACAGCAGCAGAAGGCATTGATGACTACGCTCATGATTTCCTCACCTTCCACTGCTGGGGATGGCTGTGGTGGTGGTTTTTATAATAATGCCCTTCATGCCCAATCCATTGGAGACTGCACTCGGGATCCTTCTCATTCCTCATCGAATTCGGGCCCCACTTCTCCTTTTGCCTTACCCCTTACACAAGTGCCACTTGATGATTCCGGAGCCACCGGCAGCAGCATGGCATGCGACCGGAGTCACTTTGAAGGGGAAGCAATTCGGTCAGCTACTTCTTCTTTGCCTTCAAGTCTGGCGGGCCGACTTAAAAAAGCCAGTCTCTTACATCTTCCTCGGCTCCGCCAAAGACATGCCTCTTCCACCGGCCCTTCCACCAATAAAGCCCAAACCACTAGCATCATTGTCAATGCAGTCAGCAGTAACCTGAATGACTTACATTCCACATCGGCTGCCACAACTACTACTCGTCTGTCGTTAGCATTGCCTACACATTCAAAGCCTTTTAATGCCAATGACAGTAATAAACTAGCGGTTTTGGCCATACGAACTTGCTCTAAGCAATCGTCAGGGAGGCTTTTGTCTTCGATAATCCCAGGTCTTTCTTCCCCTTCGCATCGGCATCGTGTAGCAAGCGCTTGTATTACCGGACGCAGCGATTTCGCCAATCTGCCTGGTAAAAAGTTCTAGTTGGCACTATAGGCCTAAAAATAAATCATATTTTTAATAAATTTCTTTTTCATTTATATTTGTCCTGTCAAAACTGGACATCGGGTTTGTCATACAATAAGACTCAAAATAATTTACTGCTTTATTTTGATGCATTAAGTCCGCAACCTTTCAGCATCTTTGGTTATAATCTCTGTATTATATAAAATATTGCGTATTACAATCCTAGCATCATTCTTGCTCTCCTTTGCTAGTACCGAAGTTTATACTTAGTCCTTATAATTTTTATTTATTTCATTTAAATGATATATATCATTTTTATCACTCTATGTATCATTTTAATAAAATACTTATTCTTCAGACTTGCCTTTTAAATTTTCCAAACGGCAGTCATGAACTTTGAGCTCAGCTTAATCGATCATTATTAATATTTTAATTTTTTTACATTGAAGACTTATTTAGGGTTTTAAGATTTTGTACAAATCGGGGGGTTTAGTCCTGCTAATGGGCCGACAAATTTCTGCACAGATTAAAAACTATTCCGCTTCTTGAAGTAGAGATATTTACATATTTTTCTTATACTATTATCAAGGCAAAAATTCCTTCAAAAGTATTGTTTAACTCTATGTTTAGGATTGTTGCCCGTTGACCAAACGCATATTTCCTCTATATCATTTCTTCTCCAGAAATATAGACACAGTTTGTTATTTAATCTAAGGTTAACATAATACTCTTCCAAGGACACAATTTTATTCTATTGTTAGGTCACTTTTCATTTCACTCCCGTTGCCGTTCTTTTTACCGTTGCACTCACCTATTAATTTCAAGTTCCGTGTCACATTGAATGTCTTAACTCTTAAAATTTTGGAAATTTCTCTAACATTTTTATTTCGGTCGATATATGGTGGTTACTTTTTCCGATCTAAATAGTCGGTTTTGATCATCTCTTTGTCATTTTTACTCGTATGCGCCCTTCTTTAATCCGCTTTCAGTTATAGCAGTTACTTTTTTTTCGGCTGTTTAAAACTTTCCGTCGGCATCATCTAATATCTCCAAGCGAGTCGCGAATGAATGAAGCATGAATACTCATCTTATTGACTCGATCAGGCCACGCTCCATTAATGCATCTGAGTGCGTACATTGGTGACTACTCAAATGAGCACGCAAAGCTACTTCCATTCTTACTTCATACATTTAGGTGAATCGGATTCTCTTTTGCATCACATAAAATAGAGCGAGTGATAAAATTTTCCCAAAAAATTTACTGGTGGTCTGCAATAATTTTGTCTCCATCTTAGTGATCAACAAATGTCTTAGTCACAGTTACTCTCGGAGCACAACAATCAGCTTTGGGCTTATGTTTTCATGAGCTTTCATGTATCTCTCTAAGGGATTATTTTTGGGCATATTCTTTGACATTTGCTTTGCAATGATTTAAGTCAGTTTGGTTACATCTCACGGTTATCTCTCGACTCATGCAACACCAAGTGGAGCATGACTCACGTGGAACTACTACGGGAACTAGGCTAGTCTAGCTACCGCATCGAGCCTCTCGTTTGAACTATCAGAACGTGGCACTAAACGCATAAGAGTATTTTAAGTCAGAAACCCCCTCGACACCACACGCCAACATCGTCTGAATTTTTTCCCACATCGAGATCATCGCCTGTAACTTTCCTTATATAAAAAACACTCAATGACTCGTTTTCTTGTTTCTCTATACAAGGCTGGGGGGTAGCGCGAGGCTGAGCACATACTTATAATGAATATTGTTCTGATTTACTAAAATGGTCAGCCCGACGTGATTCCAACAGCCCAATTCTTAATAGCCATCTAAGCATCAAGTCATTAACCTAGTATTTGATTGTGTTCACAGCAAACAGGGCATGCCACTGTTACTACATCCTCAGATCAACAGCCAATCTCAGTAATAGCTCATGGACATTCCGACGCTTATCTCCACTGCCTGGAGCTTCATTTTTTTACAGTCAGACATTGTCATCTTAGCTCGTAGCCTCCTGGATGTCAAAAGCGTGCATCTTCATGCACCTTGGTATAAATGCACCGCAATCTCGTACACTACTCCTTCCCTTTATGCATCTGCGACGCTACAAGTTCGGTCAGAACTCCGCTGAGGCAGACTGCGCTCAGCTAACATCTATGTCCCACGCAAGGCTTCATTAAGTCAACATCAATTGGACAGGCGTTGCTTCTCAGAAGCAGCACGACCTTGTCGCATGCCGACTTCAAATCGACGCCGAATATCAAATCTGAGCATTCGCGGTTCCTAACGTTTGGCAGCAGAAAATCCAGCAAGCTATTTCGGTTAACTCGCTCAAATACTATTTTTGCCATCCGTACTTTTATTTTTTGACATCCTGATGATCACATTTTTCTTCGTTTCGAGCCTACCCTGACAGGGTTAGTCTCTTGGGAGGAGAATTTTAGTGACGTATCCCCATATTTCCCATTCAACGTTTAGTTTTTGTTACATCCCATATTTAGCCATGGCTCAACATCCTTTGGAGCAGAGATCACGTGAGTGCTTGACTGATCTTGATTTTTTATTTCGCGTCGTCCAATCAAAGTTTGGCACTGCATCGTCTAATCAGATGTTGGCAGAGAAAACTATGCAAAAGTATATCAAGTAGCTAACATCCCGTCATGTTCCTTTCCTTCTTTTTCTCCCCTCCGCTTTTGCCCGCGGGTTTTATAATGTTTTATTTCGCGCCACATTTAAATTATCGTCTTTATATTGTCAGCCCCATAATGTATTTATCTGTTTCAAAATAGGACAAATAGGTAATACTATATATCCTTTTATCCCTTTGTTTCGGGGCCTACATCTTTGGATTTGTAGAGGCAAAGCGTTTTATATTTTAGAATCAGACCACGTCCTTCTTTGGGACACAACAACTTCATAGACGATCATGTATTGAGGTTAGCTAATTGGTCATAATATCACATTTTCTTCGTCGAGGGAACTTTTTTGCATTTCCTCATTGTTACTCCTGGAAGGATTACAGCGAGCTGATCTAAAATGCTTCGTCTCAGGATACTGCCTGTCACTTGTAACCTTCCACACTAATATTGAGGTACTCAAGCTATTCACAGTGGATTTTAGCAATAACTTGATTTTGCTTATGAATTTCTGACACCCGTATATTAAAAGCGCTTCTTCGTCTATAAATGAATGTCAATCTACTTCTTATCTATGAATAGCGTGTTTTAGCAACTCCCCTGCTTTGCTATTTCCAACCTTACAAATGGACTTTTCTGGAGAAATTCGTTTGAACCCTATTTTTAACACCCCATTAACTTAGCTTTATAACTTTCAGCAACTTTACACTTGTGCAATTTTATATCTGTATGTATGCATTCAGTATTCTGTAACATAAGTCTAAATCTATGCAATTTGTAATCTTTAGTTTAGATCCAAACTTTCTTATCAGTCATTTGGGTTTATTTATTATCAGTCAAGAGGTTGCCAACTTGTAGCAACTGCAATGCTCTTGGGCTCAAGCTGCCTCTAGCAGCTTAGAAAGAGACTAACCATTTTTTTAACAGAGAGGATTTATCCAGATATTGAAGGTGTGCTACGATTACTAGTGGGGATTTCATAGGCATGGTAACATTGGGCACGTTTCTATCATTCTTGTGTGGAAGATGTAAAGTTTTGCTTATTTTGGTTAGCTCTACTTTCAACTTTCATCTGATGAACAAACTTCACTAGCTTATGGTTTCGCGTGATCTGGATTGCGTTTTTTATTTTAGCATCTTTTGGATTTTTTATTTGCATCTTTTAAGCCTTACGATCCATCTAAGCATTTCAATTGAGCTATGATTACAGCACTTGAATTAAGGCAGATTTTTGAGTTTTTAGGTCCATAATCATCCAATTTTAATTCGAATTCTCTTTTAAACATGTCATCCCGATATTATACAATATGATACCTCTCTTTGAGAACATTAAAACGTCTTATAAATGCTCTCATTTTCATTGAGACTTTTAATCCAACCCCTACTTTTTATGTTTGCATCCTATTTACAAAAATTAATATGCAATCATATTTGCACGCGTTAATAAAAACACCGTTTAGACCATCCTTTATCCCCAGAGGACATCCCTGTTGCTGATGGGGACTATCAGCACTACCTGACTGTACATGCCTTTCATCCAGTGGTTCCAGTACCTTTTATTGCTAATGCTGACTGCAATAATAGGCACAACAGGCCTTGTCTTGCCAAACACATCGTCTCTCCTCGTGGAATCATTACATCCATTCAATCTCCAGCTCTTTGTAGTAACCTATCTGTTGGACAGTCCTTACAGATTCAGCCAACCACTTGTGATAACAGCGATACTAATACAGTGACTATCACTACACGGCAAAATCACCAATTGACCATTACCAGCACTCGACTTTCTTCGAGCCTGAGCCCCACAATCCCTCCAGATGATAATATTGGACTTGCGTCACCTCCACTTCTACAAGTGACCTCACGTCTCTTGTCTCCTTCTTGCGTTCAGGGGTGTGAGTCGGCAAAATTTCCAAGAGCAGCATTTATCGGAAGCAGGTTTAGTGAGGAAGCTAGCTTGCGGAGAAGTAAGCTGTCGAGGGATGAGCTCAACACTGTCGTGCCAAGCAACAGTCCTAATTTCATAGTATGTGGCCTATTCATATATATATTTTTTTTTTAATTTTTATTTCGTTATTTATATTCATATGAATATATAAAGTTGTTGAACTTAATTTTGTTTATGTTGAAGTGTGAGCACTGATAATGTTCGATCTGCAATTCAGAGATTTAGTATAATTCACCATGGAAAGTTGACTTTCTTAATTGTAATTTCTGTCACTTAGTAACGTAAGCACGTAATTGCGATCTGGTACATTTTAAGTTATGCTTAAGATTCTGATTCTAGTTCATGCTTATGATAGTTTTTGGTGCCTTTGATTTACATGAACTTATGAAGGGCATAGAAGTAGGTTGACCCCGTTTTCGCAATTTGGTCTTGTTTTCATCTGCCATAGTAGTTATCATAATTCCCAGCATCAGACCGTGAACTTGATACATCAGACTTTTCGCCAGAATCGTAATCGGCATCGTCAGTGAGTGTTGCCCCTCGCAACAAGCTACGAACTTGTCAAGGATACAAGTGAAGTCAATCCCTCGACCAACGTTCTACTAAAAGCGGTTAAACTATCACTCCTCTTCTTGCCATGGACCATCTATCAACTCTACCCTCTTATCCAACTACTGCTCTATCACAACTTCTGACTTGCTTACATTCCACTCGTCAAAATGTGTGTCCTTTTTTGGAAAATCTAGTTTGGCATCACCTGCTATTCACCCTGGCCCCCTCATTCGATCGGCTAATCCGAATTGGGCCTCTTATTCGCATCTCCCGCATCGTCCCATAAATCCGTTTCCTATCTTTCTGGCTGACCGATTTTACTCGGTTCCATTCACGGTGTGCGTTTTACTCCAGGCCCTATTTCCCATGGCCTTGGAATCATGTACACTGATGCCTCGTCTAGCAGAACGCCTGGGCTCTGATTCCCACGCTTGCAGATATCAGACATGGCCGTCACATGTCGTCTTGACTAAACCCTCGTTACTTGTGCAGGCGGAGGAGACTAGAGCTAGTTGGCTGACAGTAGGCCTGTTTTACCATAGAAGTGTTCCATGCAGCTAAGGCTTGATTTTGAGACTTTCTTAGAGGCTTTAGCCTCGAATTAGTTATCCAGACGCAGGAGATGGATCATAATGCCTCGAGTAGCACAGATGGGGTGGCAGGGATCGAGTAAAATACTTGAACCAGGGAAAGAGCAGACGGATCCTATGGAGAAATGGGGATACTGATAAGGCCTAGGGAAGGAGGGCGGCGTGACAATATGGCAGACTGATCAACATTTCCAGCACAACGGTGAAGAGGGGTGAGAGAGTGAGAAAGACAGCGTGGGGTGTGAAAAGGTCCCATGAAATCCTCTCAAAAGGGTACATCACACTACATTTATATATGTACGGGAGAAATTACGACACTGAAGTCATGATACTAGGATATATGAAAGGTGAATAGCACAGTACAGAAGGAGAGATACCTCAACTATTTAGCACACATTTGATCAAAGGATTGGCTTCACTTGTCTCTGACGAATTGTCGTGTGGCGCTAAGACTGACAGGACTCACTGATGATGAGGGAGAAACGTCTGGAAATGCACCACGTCTACGACCGCACTCTCAAAATTATCATGCAAGGTTTTATGTTCATGTGGTAGTGCCTCTGTAGTTTCATGTATAAGAGGTAATCCGAACGTAAGACATCCTACAAGAGTATGTACGTTTAGAAATCCGAATTGGCCGATCACATGGCTCATAGAGTATATCAAATAGATTGGTATATTGCCAAACGCTTAGCTGGATATAAAGACTATACCAGTAAGCGATAAATTAGGGAGGTGATATAAATCAACAAAACAGCCAACCTCTTGAATAGAAGGAAGGAGGGTAAAAAGCTTAGTTGAAACTACTATTCGTGGCTGTTGGATACGATTATATAGAGATAGGGGGGAACCAGAAGTATCACCGTGCAAGTAGAAGAGACTTAATTTTGACTCGAAACTGGTTTTGACTATCACATCGCACTGATTTTAAGAGCAATGCATTCACACAGCACACGTGCAATGGAACACAACCACATGCGATAACATTGCAGGATCAAAGGCATAAGTGCTTTAGGGGAGGAGGCAGCTGTTCGGTTTCATTCGCATCTGTTTGGCACTTCATCTTCAGCTTCATATATCATACGCAGCCATATTGGATTATACCAAGTAGGAAAGCTTGAAACCAGTCATCTTTCTTGCCTTCGTTTATTGTTGAATTATCGTTAAGCGTTGTTTCCCTCTCTGACGATGTCCTTCACATAACGGATTACAACTCCGCAATGATTCATCGGGGGCGCAGGGCAGTGCGCTGAGAACTTATTCGCACAAATTTACGCTCAGCTCCAAGGCAATGATCCTACAGCTTCCAGTAGACCCTTTTAAACGAAATTAAAGCCACTCCAACATTAACAGAACTATTATTTGTGTCATTTTTTATCTACTTTTGTGGTATATTTCCTGCATTACCATTTTTAGGAATTTCAATGCCTCTTTCTCCATTCTAACATATCAACTACGTCTTCTTGAAGATATGAAGACCAAGATGGTGTGGCCCTTTGTGTGGTCGCAGTCTCCTTTCGTTGTATAGAAGTTGT